TATTTCGATGTAAAACGATGCCTCGCATGAATCGTCGTTTTGCTTCGCTGCCTCGCATGCCTTGCTGCCTCGCATGCCTCGCTGCCTCGCACTTTAGTACTACCCCAAAAAACGTAGATGAAGCGTAGGCCTAACTCATTCTAATTTGAACTTTAATGCAATCTTGCAATCGCTGTTACATCAACATTAAACGTTGTGCTACACTATCTAGAACCCGGGCTAATATTCTACACATAGGTCTGTGCTGCTGGTAAAATTGTAAGTTAACTGTGTCCGAAATACTAGTAATTTGTTTCCGAGCATTTCTAAACGTCCTTCAGATTCAGTACTACTATACAATTTGTACCTGTCTCTTATACACATCTAGATGTGTATAAGAGACAGCATTCGCCCCTCCCCAAAAAATCACTTGCAAGTAGTTAAAAATCACCTTATTTTGCGACTTTCACCCCGCAACTACTTCACCTTTGCGCCACCAATGACCACCCCCATTTCAAGACTTGATACGCCACTAGAGCCAGGGGAAAAGATCTGGTGGGTTCCGTGGGAGAAGCCTAGCTGGGTAGTACTAAAGTGCGAGGCAGCGAGGCAAAACGACGATTCATGCGAGGCATCGTTTTACCATTCCCAAAAGTTCGAGGCATAACAACGATTCATGCGAGGCATCGTTTTACATCGAAATATGTGCAGAGAACAACGAAAATCCAATGTAAAAGTAATATTACGTACTATTAATATTCATTGTCAAATTTGCTACTTAATTTGATTTGCAACCACAGTGGATTTATTTTTCTCCGCCTAGTCCTAGGCTTAGGCTATATAGTCAGTAACATCGCTGATCACAGGGGGATCCAGGATCTGCTGCATTCCCATACAATTAGGGCAGAAATTATAGAGGGCGCTATTTAAGGTCAGTTTAGTGAGCTGTTAAATATGAATATGCATAAGCATTACCTAAGTTCGACGTTCGGTGTTTGTAAAGACCACCGGTAACGACGTCTGAGTTGCTATTATAAGCGTACGTTGGATATTGAAGATTTATGTACAAGAATAGTGGATGCTAAAAAACCAAATATACTTTGTTGTGCAATAGTAGTAGTAGGCCTATTGATTTGCGCTACGAGGGATGCACGAGGCATGAATAGCTACATTGTATTGTATTTTTAAACTTTCATTTAATTGGTAATTATTAATTTAGGTCTTGCTTGCTGTAATTATTTCTCTACTACGATAATACGATCACTAAACTGACATTAAATAGTGCCCTCTATAATTTCTGCCCTAATTGTATGGGAATAAAAAATAATGCAGCAGATCCTGGATCCGCCCCTGTGATCAGCGATGTTACTGACTATATAGCCTAGGCTAGGCGGAGAAAAATAAATCCACTGTGGTAGGAAACCAAATTAAGTAGCAATTTAACAATGACTATCACGCATAATTATTAAATAGTACGTAATATTACTTTTACATTGGATTTTCGTTGTTCTCTGCACATATTTCGATGTAAAACGATGCCTCGCATAAATCGTTGTTATACCTCGCACTTTTGGCAATGGAAAAACGATGCCTCGCATGAATCGTCGTTTTGCCTCGCTGCCTCGCACTTTAGTACTACTCAGCCTAGCTTTATGAATAGAAAAAATTGTATTTAATTGATTTATAAGATTAACAATTTACAATTAAACATACAGTACCTATGTTCATAAAAATAATGTTTAGTCATTCCTTTTGGAAAAGATCACTTAATCTCTTGTTAGGTCTTTCTCTTTTACTTTTGTGTCCGTATGGTGTCGATACTGTTAACTTTTTGGCCCACCTGTTATGGTCCATGCGAGCTACATGGCCTGCCCACTCCCACTTTGTTATACAGTTTTTTAGATACATCTTTAATCTTTTTTGCCTTTCTTATAACTTCATTTTTCTACTTATCAAGTCTACTGATACTGATATTTATTTATATATTTATTCCTTATAAAGCCTTCCTTTCCTAATTAACTATAATTAATTATTAATTTAAATATGAAATTATCTGTCAAGAAATATATATTTTTAAGTTTCTTTATTATTATTAAGTGAATTTGTTTATATTATTAAACTCAATTTGTTATTAGGCCTCATATATTTTTATTTTTTTATTTTTCATTTATTTATTAAATAATTATATTTTGGACTGCTGTACTGTATTTTGTTTAGTTGTTTAAACATTTCTTCATTTCTTCTTTATAGTAATATTTATAGTAATATTTTAAGAACTATTTATTGATTTCTAAGTTTATTTTAGTAATTCATTTTAATGTTTGAAGTTTAATGTTTTATTAACTGATTCATCCTTGCATTATAAATCAACAATTGATTAACTCACTTATTTAATTATTTATTCTTTGTCAGTTTACTACAGGTGTCTAAAAATCTATTTTTGCTGTATATTTCTTAGGTACCCAACTTCAGCTGAGTATTTCAAGTATAGTGGAGCAACTACTTACTGTACCCACAACAAATATCATCCGATACCTCAAATCAGAAAGGTAGGCCTACAGTTTATTATTACTATGCATGCATTCTTAACCCATTAGCACCTACAGTATAGTTGTAATGCATTGTAGTCAGAGAGTTTGCTGTATATGAAAGAAATTAGACTCTACTACAAATAAACTGTAATATTTTTTTTTATTGTTGAAAATGTTCCATTACAAGTTGTTTTATTTTGATGCATATTAAATAAACATTCCAGTGACACAAAATATTTTGACCTTTGACTTTGAAATTGTGACCTTTGACCTATCATAGTTAACATTTCATCCAAAATTTGCAATTTTCTTTGAATTTATAATTATATAAATTATTTTGAATTTGCATACTTTTTACTAAATTGTATAATTATTTTAATTTTATTGAGTTACATCAATTCTCTGACCTTTGATTTTGATATATTGACCTTTGACCTATTCAACTTGCCAACACGATCGGCGCCGGGTATAACTAGGCCATAATTTACGATCGGTTTTTTCGGCTTTGTACATATATATATGTGAAAATTCAACTCCCATTTTCAGCTGTTATTCGTGTTCAATATCTTATAAATAGTTTATAAGTACAAAATCCGGGACGAAGTCCTCCAGAAAGAAAGTTGACAAATAGGTCTAGCCTAGGCCTGGCCCTAGTTCAAAGAGAAGAAACGTCACGAACGAGTGTTGAATGTAATTTTTATCTACGCACAGAAAATAGGCCCACGTCGCTGAACAATGAATGGTTTATATTAGATGCAAGTATTACCCAGTGTACTATTGATGAAAGTGGACAATAATCTTCTATTGTTTCTTGTCCTCTTCAAAAACTGTATGCTACATTGTTGCTTTGCAGCTGGGCACAGGGTTAAAATTTCTTCTGAGACACAGCAGTAATGCGGTTTGTTTACGAAAGCAGAACATGTGCTCAGAAGATGTGAACGACTGAATGGGTTTGAGTTTGGGACGGGTTTTGAATTTTTATTTACGAACAGGATCGAAATAGGCCCACGTACGCCGTCACTAAATGGTTTATTCGCTGCAAATGTTACCTAATATTAATTAATATGTAGACAATAATAGTTTCTAAATAATTATTTTGTCTTTCTCTTCAAAAACTCTGATCGGGCACGGTGTAATAATTTCTTCACTGACTGCTGTAATGCGGTCTGTTTACAAAGGCAGAACATGTGCTTCTCTCGTCGTCACCGAATGTTTCATTCGCCACAAAACGTTACCTATTATTAATTAAAATGTACTGTAGACAATAATACAGTAGTTTCAAAATATTTATTATATATTTCTCTACAAAAACTGTATAATTATTAATACGATTTCGGATTTGGGCACGGTGTAATCATTTCTTCACTGACAGACTGCTGTAATGTGGTCGTTTATGAACATAAAACATGTGCTTTCCAGTCGGAGAGCCGTGTTGGAGATTTTGACAGTTATTGCTAAATTTGTAACACGGCGTGATGTCATTGATTCTAGACGCCCTCACACGGCAGAAAGGCTTTTAAGTTTTACACATTTTCATTAGCATAAAGTGTATGCTATCTCATAGCTGTTGAATAAACATTGAAAAACGAAAGGTGCCCAAATATGGTAAAATCAGTTCCTAATATAGCCTAAGAATCCTTACATGATTGAATTTTCTGATTATTTTTTGTACGAGTTGCGCGTTCCAACGTTTTCACCAAGGTTGTGTGACAGCCATCGAATCATTACAATTTTGACTGCTATTTGTTTACAAATTTCTAATTAGTAGCATTTTCATCCCATACAGCGATTTTAAATATACATACCATAAGTCGAAAAAGTAAGTGTTTATTTTGATTATTTTTTGTACGAGTTGCGCATTCCAACGTTTTTGCCAAGGTTGTGTGACAGCCGTCGAATCATTACAATTTTGACTGCTATTTGTTTACAAATTTCTAATTAGTAGCATTTTCATCCCATACAGCGATTTTAAATATACATACCATAAGTCGAAAAAGTAAGTGTTTATTTTTATATAAAAATCGGTCTTGTACCCTATTTCAGTTTTCCACGACAAACGTTTAAAGATGGATCATAATTTCATGTGTTCTGCTAATGCACATGTTCGATGCACTGCCGCGTGCTGTGTGGCTGTGGTGTGAGTGTTTGCACTCAAGGCCTATACTAGGCCGTGAGTGCATAAACTACAGTACTGTACTATATACTAGCTGACAGCCCTTTTTGGAGGAGGCAAGCTAGGAAAACCAAGCTTATGTTTTTATAATAAAAAATCTGTTAAAAAGTGGCTGTATGGAAGACAAATGTCTGCATTAAAAAAGCAACAGGGAATTATTATTATTGTATATTATTAATATTAGGCCTATGTATAGGCTTATAGTTACAAAAAGGCCAGGCATTTTTGTAAATAGATAAAGTATAGTTACAACTAGTTTCAATCAATTCAACATCATGATACAATTTTGGCCAGTTACTTTTGTCTAATTTGATTTTATTTTCAGTATACATTTTTTTTTTTTAAATCTAATATGATATTTCTATTTTTCAGGAGTCACATTTGGCTGGAAATACATATTTTTTTCTACTTTAATACTCAGCCCAGCGTGGAGAAGTGAATACACCATATTATATATTGATGGATGTGTTTTATAGTTGAATGGTACATGTATACTGAAAGTGGTGCATAATTAAATAGGCCTATCTATAGTCATCATGGTTGGTAATAATGTTACTATTTAATATAAATTAATTTATTGCTACTATAATGAAGAAATGCAGTATTTAATTTTGTGAAAATAAAATATTCTATTTTTTAAGTATATACTGTATTAAAACAGATCACATGTACTCATAATTATAACCAATACTATATAGCTTACAAGTAATGTGACAGTACACTTTTTTTATAAGAGCAAGTAACATTTTTCCCAGGCTCAGCGTATTATTTTTTTTGCTGACGTCAGGCACAAAATGTTTTTATTGCTGCGAAGCAGCCAATTCATATTCTTGACAGCAATTTGACCTCTGAAAGGTCATTGTTTGTCAAAAAACGAAAAATGCCTAAGACAACTGAAAAGCCGAGTTATTATTGTACATAGGCCTATATTACTTTACTCTAGCATTACATGTACAGTACTTGAAATAAGGTATGGATAATGATGTTGGATTTTTTTTTTACCTCAGCCTCAATTTGTTCTTATAAAATGTATAAAAAAAAGTGCAGTGTTTTATTAAATGCGACAGTTTTAATACAACATACAATATGCCCTAACTGTCTGATACTGTAATGCCAAATTACTACACCAGGCCCACGTACGCAGCACGCTAGACAACGCCTAGAAAGCTTGAACTGAGAAGTAGGCCTCGACATCGACCTGCAACAGTCACAGTGTCGTGTCCTCCTCCTAGCCTGTTTTCAATGGTATCGGAGTACCGAATCCTCAGTAGTGGGGTACATAATGGTTTGATTAGTAGCAGTTGCATCCCAAACGCTGTATATAGTAGATGTTTACATTATTGGGTAGTTTAATAATTATTCTATGATAGATTTTAAATTTGCGTTTGTACCTTGTGTAGAAAATGTGAAATTTAATGTGTTTTGGCCTTCCACTTTGTAAAAAAAATCGTATGTTTAATTGAAGCCTAAAATATCGATATTTTTCGAAACCAAAAAATTATTGAACTGAAATCGTAGTTTTAATCATCATTTAACTTGTAGTTTAGTTATTTAAACTAGTTTTTTTAATAATATTTAGTGCCAAAATAACCACATTTTCAACGTATAAAAAATTGTTAAATTTCGGCCATTATCCATGACAAGTTAATGATGCTTGACCAACGCGGCTTTCCGACTGTTTCTTCACACACTCGATACGGCTAAATGGAGTTTGAGAACAGATGGAACAATGAGGGGGCAGGTTTTTAAACATTTTGAATCATTAAATGATTACAGTAAATTTACGTTAAGAGAGACCATTTATTTAGCAAATGTATGGGCTGTACATAATTGTCAATAGTTTGAGCATGCACCACCCGCCAAAAACACTGGCTGGTAAAAATATGTTATCATGTCATTGACCTTTTGGCCGAAAGCCAATACTTTATGGTCTGGTCAAGCGGTTTTTAAGTTATGAACTTTTGAAATTTAGGTACCACGCCCCCTTTTTCATACAGGAAATGGCTCCTTTAACTTTGTTCAGTTTTTACGAAGCTATATCTCCGGAAATAATGAAAATAAAAAGTTGAAAATGATAAGCTATGGCCCTCCAAAACGGTGAAAATCTAAATCTTTCAATATAAAGTTAAAGGAGCCATTTCCGGTATGAAAAAAGGGGCGTGGTACCTTAATTTCAAAATGTCATAACTTAAAAACTGCTTGGAAATTGAAGCTGAAATTTTGGATTCTTTGTTTTGACATATTAAGGCATTCTTAGAATTTTTTTTTAGGAAAATCCAAGGGGTTCGCATGGGCATGGTGGTTTATTTGAGCCGAAATGACCCAATTGCTTATTTTTGTTTTTATCATTTTTAGACATCATTTCAAGTAGCCCCTCGGGTCACCAAACCCTTAATTCCAATGTCTCTGTTTCAGATCTTTAGCATGTTTATATATAATGTATTATCACCTAACTTTAATAGCGCTAAAGACAATCTACCAATCTAAGTTGGCTTCTCTCCAAAGACTACTGTAGCCTTTTCTGTACTGTATTTTAGGCCTACAAAGAATATTCATATTCATAATGTGAATTATGAACAGAAGTTTCTTTTATTTTTTTGTATGAAACTGTTTCAAAATATAGTGTTGAACAAATAAATAACACAGAATTATTTGGAATTTAGAAATGTAATTTTTGATTGAATCTTATTCGGACATGTATAGACCACATCAAGTTTACTCCCTACCAGTGGTCAATTAGCAAGGTATATCTTTAACTAACACCACGTGCATAACATTCATTTACAGTTTTCAATTACAAATTGAACACACCACTAATGAATCCTTGGTTGAATGTTTTTTTATGTGTATCTTTCATTGTGTTTGCTTATGATCATGACAGTTACAGGAAGCAACAAACTTGATAAATAATACATATTTTAATGAACTTATCTATTCTCTGTCTTAGAAATCTAGTATATTATAAGTAGTAATAAGTAGTAACCGGATTAGGAATGAACTAACTATGATTTATATTTACTTTGAAGTTCCCCGGTGAATTTCAAATTATAAATGATTTGGAAAATGATGCTGTAGCCCTATTGAAAGCTGGCACTGATCTGCATTAATATCACAGTACAGAAATCAGCGAACCAAAAACGTATAATGCAGCACTGATTTGAATAATTCTTTTTGGAATAAGAGAAATTGGATAAGAAGGAAAACGGTGAGTTAGCAAGGAATTAACATTAACCATTAAACCTAATATCTAATCATTCACGTTCCATTAAAGCTGTATTGTCCGATAAACTAAATGAAAAATTCTTAAAAAATAAATGTTTGATTTAACTTAAGCATTTTAATAATAAATGTCATGAACTTGAGACTATTTTAAAAATTGTTTTCTCTGAATTGTGGGCTGGTAATAACCAAACAATTCTAGAAACCCTTCCAGTGTCTGTAATTCTTTATGAATTTTTTTACATTAACAAAGTGTGTATTATATAAGAAATACCACTAAAATTGTTTTAAATTCATTTTCATAACATTATGATTGTTTCTCATCCAAACATACAATTTAAGAAATTCAGAATTAATTTATATTTTTCAAGGATTTCTGGGTTCCATCAGACTATACATCTTTAAGTTTAAATGAAATGTCATGAACATGGTGCAACAACGTTAGAG